TTATTTCAGAATTGTTTCTGGATATGAATAATCTGATCTGATACCTGACCTTGCATAGTTGATCAATCACCATCACCTGATGTCATAAGCGCTGAATCCCGTGAACTTCAACTTATGGAGTTTCCTGGGCTAGAACAAAATGGTAAATTCTTCTTAGCTGGATTCAAAACAGCTGGCGCTAGTTACACTATGCCGACAGCCGACGCTGGTAGGATATGAATACCACAAAAATCCTTGGTAACTCAAATTGAAACAAGGATATCTCGCGGAACTCGCAAAATGATATTCATGAGAATGTCTTGAACAGTTCGTGAGGAGAACTATCAGAGACCTCGACAGGAGCATGTTTAGTGAATTCCTTGGTTCACTCGTAGTCGCGAGTAAATTGACGCAAATCTCCCGAACTTTCCATCGCAAGCCTATGTGTGGAAACACTTACAGACGTCGTCAGTAGTAATTGATGCAAATCTCCTGAAGTACTCGCCACAAGGCTATGTGTGCGAGTCGCATCAGTGACAATTGTTGCGAATCTCTCAAAGTTCTCGAAACAAGGTTTCGTATGCGAATTTCCGAAAGAACTCGCCTGAAGGTAATGTATGTCAATTTCTTCGTGAGATATCGCTTAGACCTCGTTGAGAATATCTCGGCGGCGGACATTTGGAGCAAGAATAGTGCTCTTGGCAACCGCTCAGAGAAGTTATGGAAGGCGTTATAATTTCCTGAAAGAAGATTGCCGAGACATCTTTAAGACCTCTTTGTGTTGGCTGAGTACCAACTTCCCTATACTACACAGATAAAAAGGATTTCTTCGATCAAACAAATCCATTTTCTTGAAATTGAATTGCTTTGTACAAGAAATCGCGACGAAAAGTGACATAAATTCCAATTTATATTGGTTCGAGAAAATCTCTGCTTGTCTTGAAGACTGTCAGTGACCTATATACAGTGGTACGCTTGCGCCCATTCGACTCCTCAGTCGTTAGCCGCCATTCGACATAGCCGCTGTTGTTCCTTGTGAAGATGGTGCAAAGCACCATTGTTCTTCAATGATGAAGTGTTCAAGAATCAAGTGTGCTGAGTCATGGATAATAGTGGTGTGGTATCATACTGAGCAAAAAACTTGCTTCCGGATGTTATGCTTTACGAACGGTGTCGAAAGAATTGGGTATTGTAACAGCAAAAATTGTGTACCACGCTGTAGTTGAATCACATTTAAGGTATGGCATAGCATTCTGGGGCACCTGCAATCAACAGCACTTCAATACAGTTTTTATTCTTCAAAAGCGCGCTATTCGATATCTGTGCAAAGTTGAGCCCAGAGTGTCTTGTAAACCCCTGTTCAAGGAGCAAAGATTACTTACTCTTCCTTCATTATTTATTCTAGAAACTGTGTGACTAGTACATAAGAACAGATCATCTTACGATGTTGTTGCTGGTTGCACTCGCCAAAATGACAAGCTAAGACTGCCCATTCCATCATCAAATTTGATTAAAAAGTCGCTGGTCTATAATGCAGCTAAAATATATAACCATCTTCCGACATGTTTCAAAGATATCCAATCACATGATAAGTTCAGAAAGTCTGTGAAGCAAGTACTTATTGAACAGGTATTTTATAGTGTTCAAGACTACTTTGATAAAGATATGGTTCCTATAATGATTTGAAGTTGATTCTTGCTATATATTTATCTACTAGTTCCTGGCAATGGCTATGGTTTTCAATTAGTATAGTTTTAATATATGTTTTAATCATTTAATCTTTTAATCTCTCATTGTTCTGTTAACGTGTGACGTTCCTCCAACTTGGTTCTATATATATATATATATATATGTTTTATTTTATTTATAAATATTTTATTCCTGTTGAATGTTGAACGGTAGAAATATTTTTATTTGTATTTGATGATGTGTTTGTTCGTCGATAGTACCTATGTCTGTATTTTTATATCTATTTATTATGACTTTGTCTACAAGATACTCATCTTTCGGCAATAAAGTATATTTTGATTTGATTTGATTTGATCACACCAATGCGGCATTCCATATTTGAGGACAAGCTGCAGGGGTAAGAACTTCGAATATTTTTGTAACTTAGTTGTACCTAGTGAGGTGTTTTCCCTTCTTATTTTATCGGAAACAAGATGAGGAACTTGATCAATCATACCTGAAACCATAACTACACATTACTGTCAACGCATATGGCCATGTTTGTATAACCTGCATAACTCCCATTAGTTCAGCAGTGACGATTTGACCAGTCGCATTCATTCGATGAACGCACTAATAGGTATAGGTAGGTAATTGTCCATTATTTGTATATGTTTTACTCGATTCCCGATTGAAATGATCGAGTCAATAAAAATATGTCTCCTTCCCTCGTGTTTTCACATACCTATAACAACTTTTATACATGCCCGTTCCCCAAACGTAGAATTTCTTGCAACCAGAAAATATCTGGTTGTCTTGAAATCTCGTTTGTTTTCGACAATGCCTGGCTGTGATGAATGGAATATTTCCTCTCAAGCAAGTTCTATAGGTATACGGTTGATGATTTCCATTTAACAGGTCACTCTGCAAGACAGACAAAACATTTTTTAATCAATGATTTCACTCTCCTCTCTAGGTTTTTATGGTTCAACATTCAAGCCATTTCAATCACAGTTACATTCTGGGAAAGAAGACGAGGACAACATATCACAAAAATCTAGAAGAATAAATATCCCATACCTCCTAGATTGACCTACACACAGTATTTGACGATTTCACTGTGTGTTTATGTTTCTATTAATATTATACATGTTTTCATTTTTGTTATGTAATGATAGGATGACCAAGTTTTCATAATAATGCCTTCTGTTTACCAACAGTAAGAATTGATTTAATTTGATACTCAATACTCTAATAGTGAGCTATACTTTGATTTCCTTCAAAATTTCAATCTCTTGACACCAGAAAACAAGAATTTCATGAAAAAATATTCACTCATTATAATGAGATATTAGCTATTTGTAACAAGCTCAAAATTTCTTGATTCAAGAACACAATTGTTCAAGTATGATGGAAGATTAACTTGACAATAGAAGAATTTTCTTGTTTCAAACTAATCAATTCTTTCTTTTACCAATACGTACTGTGATAATGAAGAAATATTCATTTGAATCAAGATTTCATTTCATGGATAATTGAAGGAAGTTCTGTAGATAAATCAAACAAATATTTGGTTGGACCTATTCAAGAGCGCCATATGGTTCAATCAATGCTGTTCCGCATTGAATCAAGAAATCCTTCTTATTTGTGCAGACAATAGTCCATATTTATAAAAAGAAGCCTCACCTTCAACTTTTGACAAATGAAGCAATTCCTCCAAGGTATATGCATAAGAATAATTGAAGGAAAAGGTTATGCTTCGAGGGGTTTGCTTCAAAGTGAACGGTTTAACTCTTTTCTCATTTATAAAAAGAAGCATTTGCTCAAAAACTGAAGGATGTGCTTCTGAAAAAAGAAATTTAGGTTCACAGCAACTTTCCATACTCTATTCAGTAGCTGCCAAGCCATCACACAGGTCATTGTAACGTCACATTTGCATATTTTGAAAAGTGTGGATGAGCTTGAGTGAGTGATCTATGGTTGTGTAGTCCCAGTGATCTGTTTGTTATCGCTAATATGGTGCATGTAGGTAGAAATGAGGTAGAACGTTTAAGAAAATACTACAAACCAAGACGCACGCCATGTGTATCAGATTTCAAATTTTTAATCAGATGTGAGGAGGATAATGTGCTGTGGTTGGCATACCACTTTCTTGGAGCGGATCCCGAAACTCGTGGTGCAGCCCCATCACCTGTGATGAAAATGAGAGCATTTCCATGAGAGGTTCAATTTCCATCTTCTTATATACCAAACAGAGTCAAGTAATGCTCAACTTAACACGTATATAAATAAATTGAGGATATTATCATTCCATAGTTATGTAATATTGATATTGTTTGTATGTATATATTTCAGTAGTCACATCTTCGCTACCTCCCTTTCCACTTCCACTCTTTGTGTCTGACATTTCAATTTTGAACTTTGAATTGAAATTGAATCAAAAGGATCAAATTCACCTTAATTCACTTGCGAACAGTATTAGGTATATAACGAATAAACTACGCTATCGCAGAACACATGTAAGCGTTGATTGCACACTACAAGTGTTAACCTGTCATAATCGCTGTACATTTTCTCCTTCTGTTTGGGTGTTTATTGATTTTCTGACTCCTTGCTAATTTCACCAGATCCGGTAAGGGATATACCTTTTACTTTATTTATCCGAAGCATTTCCTTGCAAGGAAAAGGTAGAGATTATGAATACGAATTGAAGCAAAACCTTTTACTTCTACCTCTTGCTTCTACCCTATACTTGGAAGAAAATGCTTCATTTTTATAAATATTGACTAATACACCTACTTCCCTATACTAGCTCTCCAATTTGAACCGACAATGACCTAGACCTAGCGACCGACGAGATATCATCGAGGCCGACCCATGATCAAGATCTTCCCGGAGCGCCAGTCCGGATGCTGATCCGCGGACCACGCGACCCGCGCCATCCGCGGCGCGATCCACCGGATCCTACAAGGTAGCAGAGCAGCGCAATCGAAAACCGCCTACCCGCCGAAGGACCGCTTAGTACGTCGTTGGCATCGAAAGTGCGCGCAACACGCTCACGACCGCGGGAAGCCAGAGAACTCACGAACTCACGAAACAACCCTTCATGACCGCATGCCGCTCACTCAGACTCATCTTACATAACATTCCTCTCATCCTCACCGAAAAAAACTCATTGACTGAAAAAAAAATATTTCCTTGGTGTGAACTGTCTCAACTTTGATGTGAACTAGTGGACTTAGAATGCCCATGTTGGATACCCAGCTCTCTAATGATCTTGGTGTTTTGCTTTGAATGGATGCAGTGTGGTGATGATTATGTGTTGATGTGGTGACATGTTAGTGCAAACGGAAATGATCTTGCTTTCTTTGGCCTTTTTGGTGGTGCTGCTACCATGGGCTTCCTCCAGCTTCAACAGCTTTGATGAGGGATCGGCTCCCAATGAACTAGATAGACCAAGTGAGTGATTTTTCCAAATTTTTGAGAAATTTATTTGGATTGCCCCTGAATGCATGGCTTAGTTATGAAGTATCATTTCGATATTTAATTACATCAAGATTTGATTGAACCGCTTGATGAATACTCGCTGAAAGTTCCTTCAAGTCGAGCATATTATGGTCTTCAAATTGGACGCCCAGGCGCCCAGGGTATTGTTTTCCACTAACAGGATTCTTCGTGGTCTGATTCTCCAAACCGAAATGAAACCTACAAAAAAAGTTTATATTAACATGGTTCTGAAAATATTTCCTGTGAGAGTTACAGCTCCTCAGAGATGAACCATTGTGAACTTGAATGTTGCATTCAATATTCCTTACACCATTCAGTGAATAATTACGCGGGAAAAGAACAAGGTACCATCGATGATAATCCAAGGCTTGATCATAAATTTTCAGAATATTCTTTGATCTGCTTGAGTATCTGACGTGTCATTTGCTGCATGCTGCAAAGATATTCGAAGTAAAAAAAACTTTCTGAAAAAGGAGGCGACTAAACTATATTGTTTAATGCTGGAATACGAGGCAAGGCTCTCTGATGAACCATAAAAATTTCGAAACCCTAGTAAGGCTCCGCAAAATAGACACCAAATGACACAGATGTCACAAAAATCAAAATGGTGCTGTCTGCTATCCGTGACTGTCATTTATTGTAATCCTTTTAGTGATCAGAATAAGTTTCAATGATCGGTGAATGTTCCGTTTTTTGACAAACCGGAGAATTCACCCCCACTATATGAGCTTGTATCGATGATTATACATCATCTTTCTTCATAGATATCAAGAAGCTCTCCACCAAGGAAATCATCAGGGTATAAAATCAAAAAGTAGTACTAAATACTCGACCTCGTACTCGATTGAATACCAATTCTTCAATTTATTCATTTATTTATATATTTCGCAGTACCAATCGGTTCCAATATATCCGAGAAAATATCTTAGCTAGATAGCTCGCTAGATAGTATCTACCAGCAACAGCCGCAAAAATGTGAAATTATGTCCTTCAATTTGAAAATTTCATAGGATAAGCCTCGGGATTAGCAATAGAAAAATATAGGATGGTAAAACGATAACTGTTAAAACATAGGTTGACCAAACAAAATAGCAATTGAATATTCGTGATCATCAGAGATTTAATTAATGAAGTACATCATACCTAGCAATAATTGAATATCTACTTCAATCTCAACACTACGAAAATATATATCATTGAGCAATGAATGTATAGGTCGAGGTCGGTATAGGTAATCTGGATAGGACTTTTGTGCGAAGACTGTGTTTTGCGATGTGTTATGCAAGTATTATACATACCTCGATACATATTAACAGAACCTCGAACAGAACTAACGAATGTGAAATCATATACTTCACGCGACTATACACTATACAGATAGTCTAGTGTTCAATTTCTTGTATAAGTAGTATCCCGAGTACTATCCAACTGGCCTTCCTGAATTCGAAGTTTAAATGCTGCAGTTCAGAAGCTGTTGAGTATGTATGTTTGTATCTACCTACCTCATCAATCATATCCAAGACGATTTGGCACCAACAATAATAATATATCGAAAATCGCCAATAACCCTTTTACCAAATATAGGTGTATATATATGATTTCACCTTAAATTTCAACATAAAATACTTACGAATTTCCAAATATCCTACACCACTGTCCGAGCAACTGTCGATAAAAAGTCTGCAAATAATGGTACATTATACACCTAGATAGTAGAATGGTGTTCTGGATCTCTAGACAAGAAGTTTATAGCCAGACCAACGGGAGGGCTTCGGGGAGGGCCATTTGTCGAGGGATTCAAAAACACTTCAGTCCCAGGGTATATAAACCATTTTATGCACTTTAGGAATGGACACACGTTAAAATTAACGAAAAAGAAATGAATTGCCACTAAACAATACCAACATATTATCAACTACCTCAGTAACTATGGTGATCCAGACTTCGGGGAAAAAAGTGGTACTTCAAAGCCCTTACTACCTCAATAACTAAGATGATCCAGATTTCGGGGAATCAAGTGATACTTCAAATCCTTAGAGTTTCAAAGTACCTACCACTTTTTTCCCGAAAATACGGAATAAAGATATCGTTTGTGAAGTTTTTACATAAATAAAGGTACGCTTCAAATCCCGAAAATGCATAAAATAATGAAATACATAATATTCCAGCCTCGATTCCAGCACTCTATTGATGTGATTCATTTCGTGGTTTACCCTGGGGTTCACCAGTCAGACAATATCGATACAGTTTTTTCCAGTTGTTTCATTGAGCATGGATAATTACGAGTATAATTAAAAGTCGTTAATAGATGTGTCATTGTGTTATTTTACAATCTACTGAATGGATAGCAATTTGTGTAACAATAACATGATCTGATATATTATAATTGAATGAGCTGATTGTAAAATACTGCATAGAATCCATAATGAAAATTCGTGAAATTCAGACGACAGTGAAAATTTTGCAATTTGAGATGATTGCACTCGAACCTCGACTCGAACAATCAATTGAATGCTCAATTCATTAAATGAGTACTCAAATCCGAGGATGAGAGAGAGAATGAAAATGAGAACCACTCAAAATTAAGTAGGACGATTAATAAATTTTCTAAACACCTAAAGACCGAGACCAAGACTATTTCTATTCATTCATGTTATGTTGTATACGTTCATAATATAGTATCCTGAATAATTTTGTAACTAAAGACATACCTCGAGACATACATTAAAATACAACATAAAATACAGATAACTCCAAGGATAACTCCAATCATCAGCAACTGTCATTGATTTTTCTCTTCGAAGAAATAACAGTTTTATATATATTCCTTGGCCATTATCCATTAATGATCCTTCTGATGATTTGGAGACGATGTTTTTCCGATTCAAATTTTTTCCTCGTCAATTATTTGATCTTGATGAAAATCAGAGTGACCTACATATTGATGCAGGAATTGCAGGATCGCTTCGTTATGCTCTTCAGTGATGAGATACTACCTGATACTCGAGCGAATACTGCATAACCCAGGGCATATCCGTTGTCACCTTCGTCCCAAGGACTGTTGAACTACCTTATTGTCGTTCAAGTTACTCACTGTATCACCTTCCTCCATTGATTATTGAGATTTCATGCCAAGGTCGATTCAAATTATTATATGCAGTTCGAGACTTGGTTGTTTATTCTTAAGATTCAGAATTGAACTTGTTTAGATTTTTCTGGGCCTTTTTATCTTTTTATTTATATCCGAGAGTAGCGCGAGATACTTTCTGATAGTGAAACAAAGCTTTTATCGTCAACATCAAACACACAAGCGATTGATCTAATAATGCGAATCAGAAAATGGTGTGATTGTCTTGCATCTGAGAGAATGATATGGACGACACCTGTACTCGCGTGTATATTCTTCTTCAAACAAGATGCCACTAATTCAATTTTTGACTCATGTTCCTGATACGGAAACTTTCAGCACGAGTGACATTTTCAGCAATTCATCTGATTTGTTCTTACCGAGGTTCTTACTACACGCGTACATTGAAATAATATCAATATTTCAATATTTCAATGTATGTACATACGTGTACATATTCCTTATGGACATGATTTCATCTTACTGATACATTCATTAGTCTCTAACTCTTACTTCTTTGTAGCCACTAACTTGCAAAAATATGGTCGAATTCTCGGTAACATGGAAGCTTGAAATTCCAATCTCACTGCAGGGCCTGAACTCGGCCTGAACTAACAACATAGGTAATGTCTCGGGTAATGTTGTGTAATAATCGGTAATAATGGAATCACTACTGAGAATCGACTTCAATTGATTATATTCGAGGTCGTGACGAAAGGATTATCTTATTGTTCGATTAGCTGAATAATTATAACGTTACCATCTCGAACTGACAGACAGAAATGTGTCGGTAGATGAATTTCAGTTTATTGAAGATAATGAACCGTGGAATGATTATGACGTCATGATATGAATAGGTACGAAATGAACTGAAAATCAGAGTGCTTCCGATGTTCGATCAAAACCAAGACGAAGAGATCGAAAAAGATTAATCCTTGAAGAGAATAGCGGAGCAGAACCAAGTGAGCTGAACCGTTAAATGCCCTACCCATTCCTTCGGGTTACCTGCACCTCGACCTGCACCATTTATTCATCTCTTGTCTAGGCATCATTTCCTAGACTTCATTATCTCATAACTTTACTGTTGTATATGATACATATGCAGAAAAGTGATTATCATTGATTGTAGTATATAGCAACAGTTTCGTTATGAATTTATCATGCGAAATGCGTACAAATAACTTAATACTCTCGGTTTTACGTCTCAGCTCGATCAATATAACGCGATATAACGTATTTTCGATTATTTTTTATCGCACGAAAGGGTTCTATTATGTTCGGGAGATATCGTGGGTATACATCGAGGTATACATAATGGGGTGAATACAGAAAGGTGCTCGTATCAGTGTGAAAGCAGCCACTGATGGTGTGCTGTGTATTAGAATTACACCTTATCTTTCGGATTTTTCGAATTGTTTAGAATGCTTTTCTCGAGGCTTTTCTACCGAAAGTATATCGCAAGGACTTCTGGTTTCATAAAAAAACAAGTTTTGTTAGATGGTTGTGACCTCGGTTGTGACGTCATATTGAACTTTTCATTGTATAAACGAAGGCAAAAATTCCAAAAATCATATTTTAAAAAAATGTTGCAAAAGTGATCGTGGACATTGGCGATATCAACTCTTCAGTCTCATTACACATGTGATTTGCATGTGGTTAATGATTTTGATACCACATCAAACGTTCAAGTTCGAATATTTGTAGGACCAATTGCCCGCAATTGCCTCTTAAGATAATTTGAGGGCATGTTGGCACTTATAAAAACATAACCCTCTATTTCGATGTATATTTTCATTCATTTTATTTTTAGTCATTTGTAAATACA